TCCCACTTATAGGCAACAAGATGATATGAATGGTCCCACTTTTGGGGGCAGGTATCAGCAAGGCAAGAGGAGAGCTGAATTTCTATTCCATCTGTCTGCAGTGAAACAATGTGAGTCAGTGCCCACTTCTGGGATATTGTCATCCGGGCCCACTGGAAAGCTGTATATACTTATTTCCATCCCCAGCCCTCATGCCACACCACAATATAGGGGTCTTCCTGCTTCAAACAATAATAATAAGATTAAATAGGGTTCAGTCATATAATACTCAAAATATTGAAATACAATTGAAGATTACTTATCATCCCAAGAACCAGGAAATCACAAAATGAATGAGAAAAGACCAACAACATGCACCAACATCAAGATAAATCAGATGTTGGAATTATCTAACAAGGATTTTAAGCTATCATGTAAATGCTTCAATAAGCAATTATGTATTCCTTGAAATAAATGGGAGAAATTTAAAATGTAAGCAAAGAACTAGAAGTTATAAAAATAAAAACAAATGAAAATGATAGAACTGAAAAAACAATAACCACAATAAAAATCTCATTAGACTGGCTCAGGAGTAGAATGGAGATGACAAAGCATAGAATCATGAACTTGAGGATAGATGAAAAATAGAGAAAAATAGACTGGAAAATGGAGGTGATGAAGGAAAATTATCTCAAGAACCCGTAGAACAATAACAAAGGAGCTAGCATTCATATCACCAAAGTCCCAGAATGAAAAGACTAGTAAGACTGACAGAGTAGTCAAATAATGACTAAAAAAGTCCCCCAATTTTTAAAAGACATAAACTTGGGGCACCTGGGTGGCTCAGTCGTTAAGCATCTGCCTTCAGCTCAGGTCATGATCCCAGGGTCCTAGGATGAGCCCCGCGTCGGGCTCTCTGCTCAGCGGGAAGCCTGCTTCTCCCTCTCCCACTCCCCCTGCTTGTGTTCCCTCTCCCGCTGTCTCTTTCTCTGTCAAATAAATAAAAATTAAAAAAAAAATAAAAGACATAAACTTGCAGTTTTAAGAACCTGAGAAATCCTAAAGAGGGTAAACACTAAGATACCCATGCCTAGACACTTCATAATTAAACTTATAAAAAATAAAGACAAAAAAATCTTGAAAGCAGACAAGGAGAAACAATGTATTACTTATAGAGAAACAACAGTTCCAATGGCAACGTATTTCTAATCTGAAACTTGGAGCGTGAACATTGGCATAACATTTTTCGAGTACTGAAAGAACTGTCAGTCACAAATTCACAAATTTTGTATTTACTTTCTTGTTTGACTTATATGAATGGACTGCTAATTAATCTTTCTGTATCCAGAATTGCCATCACCCTTCCCCAGCAATCCAGCCACAGTGTCTCCAGAGTGATCTTTCTAAATCTTGTTTCACAAGCAGATTTTTCTTATAAAAACACCTGATCATGTTATGGGAATCAACTTTTCTTTTAACTTTCCAGTTAAAATCCTGCAGTGGGGTGGGGCGGGGGGGGTGGGGCACTGGCCAACTCGGTAAAGCAATTAGACTCTTGATCTCAGGGTTGTGAGTTGGAGCCTCATGTTGGGTGTAGAGATTACTT